AGCTTTTCAGAAGTGGCTGGATCTAGGGTACATGATACTGAGATTAAGGATGTGATGCTGGGATTAAGGGTGTCCTAACCTGGATGTGAATGCTACCTTCCCTAAGAATGGGTACCTGGATGGAATATGAGAGACAGAAAGAGGGCTGAGTCATTGCTTGCTACTTCACTGTTTTGCTGCCTGCTGCCTGCCATGAACTGTTTCTCCTCTGTGATACCCCTCTGCCATGCCACCCTGCCTAGGAGCCAGCTGATTACAGACTAAAACCTCTTATGAACTGTGAGCTGAAATAAATCTTTCCTCCTCTAACTTTAGGTGTTGGGTATTTTCTCTCAACAATGAGAAAAGTAACTAAGACCAGGAGATATGATAGAAGGGGCTAGAAGCTTGGGAACTACATTTCCCAGACTTCCTTCTGAATTGGAAGGTGTGTAGAGTTAGTTTCTGCCAATGAGATGGGCTCACATCAGATGCAAAAGACTAAAGGAGATAGACATCATTATTACTGTGGTTCTCACAGGAGGAGTTCACAAGCAATCTTTATAGTCTTTTTGTAGTGACCAGGCTAACACTGACTTCAGAGGTGCAAGGCAAGTATGACTGGCTGTGGCTTCCTAGTTTCTGGGTGGCAGGAACATCTTTCCAGAGTGCTTGACCACAAACTTTGGAATATGACCAAAACTAAATAAATAAATAACATGACCCTAACTTTGGCTCCTCCAGTCCTTGCAATGTATTTGCCATCACCTAATTCCCTATATTATATTCCTTTCTGCTTGAAACACCTAAGATGGTTTCTGATTTATTGACTTGAACTCCGATATATTCTTCCACAGAGTTTGCACCAACTTACATTCCCACTGGCAAAAATTGCAGAGTGTTTGTTACCTCACACTCTGAGCAAATTAAAATTTTTGACTTCCTACCCATCTGGTTGGCAGAAAAGGTATTCTAATGTAGTTTTCATTTGCATTTCTTTCATTGTGAGTGATGGTAAGCATATGTTTAGAAATCGTGTGGATTTCCTTTTCTGTGCATTATGCCACTAGCTTGCTATGTCACACAGCTGCCATCGCAAGGCTTAGACTCTGCTCTCTTTAGCATGCTAATCACCAGAGATCTCCACATTGCCAAGTCCAATGATCAGTCTTTAATTCTTTCCTTATTTGTACTATTAGCAATATTTTATAAAAATAGCCCTCCCTCTTCCTTGAGACGCTTGCTGACCGTGGCCTCCACAACCTACCTAATTGTCCCTTTGCTATGTTCATCCCATCTCCCCAGAGTTACAGCTTTGGGCTTCTCAAGGCCTCAGACCTCAGAGCTTCTCTACTGATAGCCATTTACACTTGTGATCTGGTCCAGTTTCTTGACTTTCAACCATTTCTAAACAGAGGATCCCAAATTCTTATCCCCAGTTCCACCTTACTCAGAAGCTCCACTTGGATCTTTAAAAGTCACCTCAAACAATGTCCAAATCAAAGTCTTGACTCCTCCTCCCCACAAAAAATAAATCTTTTCCCCACATTCTTTATTTCAGGTAGCAACACACTGACATCTACCACTTGCCCTGACCACAAACCTAGCCAAACCTCTGACTCCTGTCTGTATCACCACCCTCATCCAATCCCCCAAAATCTGTGCTCTGCCTTTAAAATTCATCCAGAACATAATGTCCACAGCCCCACAATGGTCCCTGGCTTACTGTAGTGGCCCCTGATTGGCTTCCCTACTTCCATTCTTAGCCCCTAAATCTATTCTTAGTGCAGCTGTTGGAACTATTCTCTTGAATTGTAAGTCATATCACGTTACTTATGTGATGTGTCCCCCCATCAGTTGGAGTCCACAAGCCTGTAAGTCACAGCCTGCTCTTTCAGTAGCCTGCAAAGTTCTACAGAAGCTGCATCCACCGCAGTCGCCACCCCCATGCTTCTCTGGCCTTATGTCTACCTCCTTCCCCTTCTTGTACTTCACTTCAGCCCTTCTGGCCTCCTGGTCCTCAGATCCACCACACACATCCAGCCCAGGAGTCTGTGTCCTTCCTGTTTCCTCTGCCTGGAGTGACAGCCCCCATCTTCAAGTGTCATCTCATCAATGAGGCTTTTCTTATTTAAAATAATAACTTCTAGCCTCACTCCAGAGCTCCCAATCTCCTTTTTCTGCTTTCTAGTCATAGCATTTGTCCTGATGTGAGATTCTACTTCCCTCACTAGGAATATAAATTCCAAAAGAGCAAAGATTTTGAGGCTGTTTTGTTCGTTGCTGAATTCCAGTACCTAAAGAGTGTTTGACACTTGACAGGCATAAAATACTTACTCGAATGAGCAAATGAATGAATGAATGAAACTAAATGACAGCTTGTCGGTATTCATGTAAATAGGGGCTGGAGATGTAGGTTTGAGGAACCATAGTAGAAGATGAAATTACCTTGGAGGGAGGAGGTAATGCTATAGATGGGAAAAAAATCAACTCACTCAGCAGTGTTAAAAGTCAGCCTCTGAACTGCAGACCAGGAGTCTAGTGAAAACAAGGGGAAAGGTCAAGATAAAGTGCTGTCAAGCAGGGGAGAGTTAACAGTAATAAGCAACATGTAAAATACATCAGCTACCTTAGAGATATTCATTTAATTAGGCCTCATAAGAACCCTGAGAATTAATGTTACTACCATTTCCAATCTACAGATTACAAAAGGTGCACAGAAGGGTTTCAGAGCCCGCTCGAGCCAATCTGGCACAGCTCAGGTTGGAAGCTAGAGCTTTCATCTTCTCACTGACCCTACAGCCACTTCCAGAGAGTTAGTCATGACTACACCAGAGTTACCCCAGGCACTGACGCCAAGCTTCATCTCAGTACTCATGAGGAAACACAGGAGGGCATATTGGTATGCAGTAAAGTGGCCTTCCAGAGCACTGAAACACATTGACAGAGTCTGAGGGGAAAGAGGACAGGAGGTTTGACTTTTCATGCTGGTTTTGCCACTAACTCTCAGGAAACTTGGACCGGCCTTTCTTCTCCATGCAAAGAGGGAAGCTACTTGCATAATCTTACAGGCTCCTTCCAGCTTGGAAATTCCACTGTCTACAGTCATCGGCTCTGTTAATGAGGGAGGGAAGTGCATTCTGTAGACACACCTTTCCTGACAAGTATCCAAATAGCAGGTACAAGGGGAAATAAATCATGAGTGCCTAGTAGACAGGTCTTTCTGATAGAATCAGAAGCTCTAAGTTTGCTAGGAACTAGGAATTTGAAAAGGGGGAGTTACAGAGAGCAGCAAGTGATAGAAATGCTGTCTCTACAGGTTGGCACTGTACACCAGGAGGTGTGTTTATAACTAGGACTCTGGTTCCTTGTGGTGTAATTATTATTATAATGTTGAGTGCAAATGGAGACTTTACAACATGTCAAGGGGGAGAGGCCAGGAATAACACTTAACTCCTGAAAATCTACAGTATGGAAGCCATAAAGCTAAAAGTGGTCTATGCACATTGGCATAGGAAAAGACTTTATGAACAAAACCTCAGTGGCATGGGAACTAGCACAAAGAGTCAACAACTGGGATCTGATCTTATTAAACAGCTTCTGCACTGCAAGAGAAACCACCAACAGAGCTAACAGACAACCTACAATGTGAGAAAAAATTTTTAGCAGCTGCACCTCAGACAAAGGTCTACTATCTAGAATACATAAAGAATTGAAAAAACTCAGACCCCCCAAATTCAAAGACCCAATACAAAAATGGGCAGCTGAAATGAACAGACATTTCTCAGACAAAGAAGTAAAAGCAGCAAACAAATATATGAAAAAATGTTCAACATCACTGGTCATTCGGGAGATGCAGATGAAAACACTGAGATGCCACCTCACCCCAGAAAGAATGGCTGCTATCAAGAAATCAACCAATAACAAATGCTGGCGGGGTGTGGGGAGAAAGGAACCCTTCTCCATTGTTGGTGGGAGTGCAGACTGGTGCAACCACTGTGGAAATCAGTATGGAGGCACCTCAAAGAACAAGGACTAGAGGTCCCATTTGACCCAGCTATTCCCCTGCTGGGTATCTTCCCCAAAGAATTAAAAGAATCATACCACAGCGATATATGTGCACCTATGTTTATAGCGGCACAGTCTGTAATAGCTAAAGCTTGGAAACAGCCCAAGTCCCCATCAACTGGAAACTGGATGAAGATGTGGGTTTTTTTATAAAATGGAGTACTACTCAGCCATAAAGAACTAGAAACTACAGACATTTATGGCTAAATGGATCCATATTGAGGCCATACTCTTAAGTGAAATAAATAGGACACACATGTGTAAATACCAAACAGTTTCTCTAGTGTGAGAAACTGAAAGTGTAAATAAGGATTAAAATGATTAAAATGAATAACTGATAATTTGAAATAGGAAAAGGTCCACAGAGGTAGAGGTGGTGCAAGGGGAAGGGGAAAGGAAAGAAGGGAAAGGAAAAATTATGAGAAAAGAAAAAAAAATGGAAACAAAGTCTATGTAAATAGGGAAGGGTGATGGGGGTGAAGGGCACACAGGTAATGGGGAAAAAAGTAAGAACCAAGGTACATCATGTACAGGTACAAACACCCAATGATAACTGTAAACGTACTGTATACCTAAAATGTACCAATAAAAGAATTTTTTTAAAAAGTGGTCTATGCACACACAGAGAAATCTAGTAAGTTGCAGCTCATGTTGATTTGATACACACCTGCCTATAGCCTTCTGCTTATGAACTCACACACACATGTACACACACACACACACTTTCACCCATGTGCATCTAAAAGTACGTGCGATCTATATATATACCTCCAGGAGTGGACAGATATAGATTTATATATTGGAGCCTGGCTCTTTAAAATGGAGGATAATGACACTGAAAATTATTCTAAGCTTTTCAGAGACCCAAATGACCAAACTGCCTCCTGACTCCTGAATTACATTACCCAGAAAGAGCTTAATAACATGTTATTATCGCTTCTCCTCACTGACAGGATTTCTGGGCTGAAAAGACAAACAAGAGGCACGTTTGTAATACCACACAGTCACCTCTGCTGAGCCACGACCCTGTTAATTCCAGGTAAATGCTGCAAGGAGAAAGAGAGCCTGGGGCTGGTAATGGGACTTGGTGCTTGGTAACTGTCACCAGTTCAGTTGGCTGTCGCTATCTGAGGGGGCTCCAGGGAGTTCATGAAGCCAATAGAGAGTCCCAGGGGGTGAAGGGCAGTGGAAAGAGACTGCATTATGGGAACCAAAATAGAATTTCTCAGTTCAACTGAGATAATGTAGGTGAAATTCCTTCTAAACTGTATAGTGCTCCAAGAACATGACTGTGAATGGGAGAAGGTAGCACTGATGGACCCTGTTTGGGTTTTCTGGGCCCCATGCACAGCTTCACATTGCTCAATTTCTAAGAATTCATTTTTCTCTGTGAATGATGCTCCCTGGAGCTGTACATTGTGATAGTCTTGAGTGAAACAGGCCAGATGACCAACGAAGATCAAAGTGGGGAAGAATCTTCCTCTCCTAGACAATGCTTGACCATCCAGGGGGTGATCAATGATTCTATAGTAAATTGCCAGTGTTTTGGGAAATTGGCTTTGAAGTAATTAAAAGGCTATTACAAACAAGATCCAAGAGCCATATTTTATACACTTAGCATCCTAACTCTTGCAATATGTTTGGTCTAAGATAAATATTCAGGAAATGTGCACTGGTATAAGAATGGATGGATATTGAATAAGCGGAAGAGGGGCACTCACTGGGCTCACTTCCTGGGGAGAACAGGGTTCTTCACTGGGGTGCAGTGATTGCAAAGAACATGCTTAGTTCACAGGGTGCAACCATACCTTCTGCCCTACATCTCCTATGTAGAGCCGCTGTAAGGTCTTTTGTGAAGCACCATTGATGTGTCAGGAGTTCAGCAAGGGTTTGTTCATGATGTGCCTCATCCAGGGATAGTTGTTGTGGGCCTGTAGAGTGGCAAGCATAGGTCATGGCTCCTGCCATTGGGATCTTACAGACTGGTTCAGTCAAGTCTTTAAAAAATGTGAGATAACTATATCAGTGGTATGAACCCAAGCACCAGTGAATAGCAAAGATGGTAAGTGTTATAAGAATTCAGGGGGAAAAGCACAGGATTTCTGCTCTGCCACCTATTGTATGCTTAGAGGAAAATTATTTACCTATCTGACCCTCCATCTCCCAGTTTGTATGATTGAGACAATCATGTTTGCCATGCAAGGTCCTTAAATAGGAGGTTAAAACAAATAATGTAGTTATAGGGCATAGCAAGGTGCCTAGCACACAGTGGAAGTTTCCAAATGATTTTTGCATTAGGACTTTTAGAAACAAATAACGGAATCCTAGTTCATCCCAATTTAAGCAAAAGGGGGATTGTTCCTTTACATAACCCCAAAGTGCAGCAATAAATAGACTTCAGAGGGAAAGGAATCAATATAAGAAAAGGAAAAAATGGAAACAAATAGGGAGCGGGAGGGGTTGAAAGGAGGATAGAGGAATGGGGAAAAAATATGAACCAAGATATATCATATAAAGGAACAAATTCCCAACAGTGAATGTCATCATATTGTATACCTAAAATGTACCAATAAACTTAATGAATAAAAATAAATAAACTTCAGGCATAGTGGGATATGTCACTAGGGCTCTCTGCCTCAATTACCATTTCTCACATGTCTTTCTTCCTATATATTGGGGGAGAAAAGTCTCAGAGCGGACTCTGATTGGCCCAAATCAGCAGATGCAACCATGACTTACTCAGTCACTACAGCCACAGTAATGAGATCATCCAATTGGTGAGGCCTGAGTTATGTTCCTCCTGATAGGAGAGGCAAAGGATTAGCTCCATTCAGACCATGGGTGATGAGTTTGTGAGTGGCAAAAGGCTACATATTTCTTCCAAATATACAGAATACGTAAAAGACAGAGCTAGGGGAAAATGGGAGAGCTGGTATTTCTTTATGGAAGCAAAAATACACTTCCACTGGCTTAATGTGCAAACATAGTGTGCACTGTGTGTGTGTGTGTGTGTGTGTGTGTGTGTAGACTTCCTAGCAGCTCAGAGTGACTATTTAGAACACACACTCAGGCAGAAACAGTTGGGTGTCTAGGGAAGAGCCAGACCAGACCAATCACCGAGTGCTCGAGGTCACAGAAACTGGGGCCACTGACCCAGACCTCCAGGAACAGCTGTCCAGGCACCCACACAGACACAAGCACTGCCCAGCCACTGCCAAGACAGCCATAAAGCCTGCTTCCCTAATGCTCTGTTCCATTTTCTCATCCTGGAAATGGGCGGGAGGTCTATAACTGTGGCCTTGAGGACCCAAGCTCTTAATGTCACAGCAGGAGTAGGGAAGGGGAGAGGAAAGACTCAGGACAAGGTGGTATGTTATCATTTGAAATCATTTACCCGTGCATGATATTTGTCTAAGTTCTACAGAGGCCCCACAAAGACAAGAGAGCGGGTCCCAGAGCTGGGTCACACAGGTGCATACTGTAGCCAACTCCCCGATCTGCTCTCTGCCTCAGTTTCCTCCTTCATAAAACAGAGTAGTTGTGAGAGTTAGATTTGTTTTTAAAGGATGTTAAGGTACTTAACAGCATCTGGCATGTTGAAACTATGATTGTTATTGACTTTATGGTGCTATAGTTGGCTATAGAAACACATTTTGGAGCTTCTATTTGTAAAAATATCTACAGAGCTGAAATAGACATGTGGAAAACACATTCTGTGTAGGCTGACTAATTCTAAAATGGCCCCTAAGAGTCCCATCCCACAGCCTGCACATACACACCCCAACACATCTCTTGCATAATCTCCTTCCCTTTAAATGTGGGCCAGACCAGTGAGTACAATGAGCTGTCTCGCCATGATTGTTTCTCCACAAAGGTGAAGGGACTTTACTGCATGGTTGAGATTATCTTGGGAGGGCCTGGCTTAGTCAGATAAGATGAACTTGGTCCTTCCTGAGGTTTGAAGCTGTCCCCGGCTGGCCTGGAAGAAGTAAAGAGCCATGCTGTGAACTAAGGCAGGCAGCCCTAGGAGCTAAGGCCTCAGTTCTGCAACTGCAGGGATCTGAACTCAGCCAACAACTGGGATGTGCTCAGGAAAGGGTCATGGGCCTCAAATACAAAGAGCACAGCTGATGTTGTGTTCGGCCTTGATTGCAGCTTTGTGAGGCCCTCTCTGAGCAGAGGACCCACGTGAGGCTCAGAAACGAGAGACAGATGTACACTGTTTTAAGCTACTGTTTGTGGTAATTTGTTACACAACAATATAAACCAATGTACTTTCTATATCTGCTTTAAAACCTTTTGAAAGCTAGGGCTACACATATAAACCCAGCCCTCAGGAGGCTGAGGCAGGAGAATCACAAGTTAAAGCCAGCCTCGACTACATAGTAAGACTATCTCAAAAAAACCAAAACACACATACACAGTCACACACTCACAAAAATCCACTTGTTGAATTCTTTCTAAGGAATGTGGAGGATATGATTTAAAACATGATCTCAATATTTGGGGGTTGTCATTGAAAATATAGAATATCATAGGGCCAGGGATTTAGCTCAGTGGTGCCACATCTGCCTTGCAAGTGAAAAGTCCAGACTTTGATCCCCGATACCACAAATTTAAAAATATATATATGGAATATCATTCGTGTAATAAATGCATGCAAGGCAGTGGATTGGGAATTCAATCAAAATCAGAAACCAGAACTGGAAACTTGTTACTAATACTGCTTAAGAGAATGAAAGAAAAACATTTAATACTAAAATATAAACTGTCCTTAAACCATTCTTATCACAGCTTATATTTGTCAAGGATACAGTTTTCTTTGAGATAATGAGCGAATGAAAGAATGGTGATAGTAATAATAACACCTAATTTGTGTGTGTGTGTGTGTGTGTGTGTGTGTGTGTGTGTGTGTGGTATTAAGGGTTAAATCCAGGGCCTTCATGCTGAGCTACAACTCCTGACCCCTTTTTCTAAACTTATTTTTTATTAGTACATGTTTATTGTAATAATGATTACATTCATCATGCGGAATTGGAAAATGTACATAACACCTTAATTCTTTTTACTTCCTGATGTCCTCCCTTCCCTCTCTCTCCCTTCCTCTCTAGCTCCCCTTCCGCTTTGCAGATCTATCTCCCTATTTTGTAATATCTGACTTTATTTTGGTCTTTAATTTATTTATATGTTGAGTTTCTCTTATAAGAGAAACTGTAAATTTCCCAGGAGGAACCTAAATTTGCAATCCTCCTGCCTCAGCTTCCCAAGTGCTAGGATTAGTATATACCAAGCAATGTGCTAAGCACTTTTAAATGCCTAATCTAATTCAATCCTTTTAATAACACAAAGTGGGCAGGAAGTTGGTACCATTATTATTTTCATGCTACAGAGGAATACAAAGAGGAAGAGGAAGGGCAAGTCATTTGGCCCAGGACTCACATAGCTGGTAGAAGGCAGTTAATCCAGGCAAATTCTGTCCGGCCAATTCTCTGCAAAGAAACATTTGTTGGACACCTGCTACATTTAAGATCCAATCCCATGCTAAACATCATGAGGAATCACAGGAGAAGCAGTGATAGAACCTAACTTCTTGTGGCTTCCAATCTAGTGTGAGAGATAATCACACAGACCACTAACTTTCAGTGAAATGAAATAAATACCCTTAGGCAGGCAAATGCCAAGAGTGTTGGCCCTGAGAGGGCAGCAGAGTCACAAAATGCTGCAGAGCCTGGGGAATGGTTTCATGAAGCAGATAGGATCAGAAATAGGTTTTGGCTGGTAGATAGGACACAGGTAGGAAATGCCTGGGGAAAGGGAGGCCCTCAAAGTAGAGGCAACAGCACAAGTAAATGTATGATAGGAGGGCCAGGCTGGGCATTTCAGGAACAGTGAGCAAGACTGTTAACTCCACAGCAGGCCTCAGAGGTGTTTGCTCACCAGCCACACTGAGTGTAAGGAGAGAGTTCCACCACAGTGTAGGACATGTGGCCTTGCCCATGAAGAAGGCTACACGTGCATGGCGGAGAAGGACAGAGACGATCTCAGAAAGATCTGAGTTAAACTCCAGGGACCACTATGTAATTTCAAGACATGCTCTTGGACAATAATAACCCCTCCTAAAGCAGACTTCCCTCTGTGTAAAGCAGGAAGGTTTCAGTAAGTTGCAAAATGCCTGACAAAGCAGAAGAGGTAAGCAAAGAGGTTTTCATCTCATGAGCCAACCTGGACCAAGCGGTAACAGTCACATGAAGCCCTGGGTTTGGAAAGATCAGGAAGCAGTGAGCTGTAGCCAATTAATAATTTCTGCTCAGAGCAAGGCACGGACCATAGTTTCACTCCTGCTGCATACTTGGATTTGGCAGCTGTAGTAGCACCTACAAACTCTTGATTCCTCTCTCTTGCCTTCCTTCCTGCCCTCAAGGCGTAAGTTAAAGTTACTAAGTTATCACTACATAGTGCACTGCACAATAACCTTTCAGTCACTGCTGAACCACACAGACAGTAGTGGTTCCTGAAGATTAAGATGGATTGAGGAATTGCTATCATTTGGTGACACTGTGGCCACCATAAGGTTGGCACCACGTTACTTAGGTATTTGCAGTGACACTGATGTGAAGAGAGCTACTAGACTACCAGTCATACAAAGTATAGCACATACAATTACACAAATTACAGAATACTTGATTATGACAATAGACATCTACGTTACAGGTCTAAGTATTTACTACACTGTGCTTTTTATCACTGTTTTACAGTGTAACAGCCAGCAGCCTTATAGATCTTGTTTACTGATTCTCTTGATTGTGCCATTTTCTCTTGAGTTTTATTTAATCTCTCATTGTTTTGATCATCATGTCATCATGGCCCCAGGACTAATAGGCTCTTCCATATATATACCATATAGCCTAGGTGTGTAGTAGACTGTATCATCTAGGATTGCATAAGTACACTCTAAGATGTTCACACAATGATGAAATCATCTAACAATGCATTTCTCGAACATATCTCAGAACTATAAGGTGTGAAGAGAAGACTAACGCACACTACCATTGGCAGACTACAGACCATGGTCCCGTGATTATGTTTAATCCTGTAGCAGACTATATGGCAGGGCAGAAATTGCAAAAAGCTGGCAGTGATGTGGACAGGAGAGTCTGAGATGATCTCATGGAGATGGGGGAGAGGGATAGGAAGGTGTTATGGTTTAGATTTAAAATGTCCCTCAAAACTCTGATGTGTTTGGAGGTAGAGCCTGGCTAAAAGAGGCAGGGACCTGGGAGCATGACTTGGAAGGGTGTATTCTTGTCCCTAGCTCCTCCCACTCCGTTTCCTGGCTGCCACAGGTTGAGCAGCTGTCTTCCACCAGGCCATTTCACCATGCCATTTCTGTCTTGGAGCCAGCCAGCCATGGCTGAGTCCCCCAAAACCATGAGCTAAATTAAATCTCTCCTCCTGTAAGTTGTGGGTGTCAGGTATTTTTCCCAGTGACAAGAAAGTGACTTAATACAAAAGATGAGGGCTGAAGCTCAAAAGAGAATCATATATCCAAAGGTCCAGAGGCAGGGATATTATTGGTGGATAAGGGGTCTCACCAAGGGCAGGATATCCCCAGGGTAGGAGGTGGCACTGGAGAACAGTGGCCTTTTTGGAGAACCTTAATATCAGGACATGCTTCAGCCTGACAGGCAACAGGGACAGAAATGAGGAGAGTCACAGCATTATTGGCTTGGGCTGCTGTAACAGAATACTACAGATGGAATGGATCACAAAAATAGAAGTCCTTGCAGTTTTGGAGGCTGGAAGTCCAAGGTCAAGGTACCAGCAGGGTTGGTGTCAGGTGAGGCCCTTCTTGCACGCAGCCCTGTGTCTTCATAGGGCTGTCTTCTGTGTGAGGTCAGAGGTAGAGCCAGCCCTCTCTTGTCTCTTTCTCTAAGGCCAGTTCTATTGGATTAGGGTCCCATTCTTAAGACTTCACTTAACCTTAACTATTTCCCTAAAAATTCTGCCTTCAAATACAGTCACATTGGAGGTTAGGATCTCACTATATGAATTTTGAAGGAACACAAGCTTTCTGCTCTCACTTTACACTTCTTTAAATTTTTCTTTTATTTGGAAGGAACTGGCTTTTTTAAATGAAAATACATAGCTCAAGTATGGGCTAGATAGGAAGAACATAACACAAACATGGAGGTACGTTAAGGATACTTTGATGAATTTTTGTCATTTCTACAGTAGTCCAAAATATCTTTTGAAAAATCATTTATATCGTTACATTTACTTGATGAAATATATAAAAATTAAATATGCATATATGTATTTGTAACACCAAGGACAATACTGCTGTGCTATACCAGGAGAAAGGGGGAGGCAAAAAAATTATTTAAGGGGGAAAAAAGTCAAGACCCAACTAAAATACACCAAAATGATATGAGTTTTACCTAAGCAATCCAATCTGAGGTAGTTTCTTACTCATACTTACCTTGTGCTTTTCCAGTTTTCTTCTATTCTGGATTTTTTTTGTCACTACTGAGGGTTGAAACCAGGGCCTTTGCACTGAGCTGCAACCCTGGCCATTTTTAAATTTTGAGACAGGGTCTCGCTAAGTTGCCCAGGCTGGGCTCAAACTTGCAATCTTCAGCTGCAATTTATTTTTTAACTTTTCATTTCTTAAAAAAAAAACCTTCTATTTATAAAACTGACTTTGTAGCAAAACTTCCTATAGACCCTTCACCCGGCATCCCCCAAGTGTTGGCATCTTATATAATCTCACAGTAGTCATCAAAGGTGGGAAATTAACACTGATAACATACCATTAAGTACTCTATAAATTTGAGGTTTCCCAATGTCCTTTTTCTGATCGGTGATTCAGTCCAAGATCCTACATTGCACTTAGTTGTATGTCTTCTCCAGTCTGTCACAGTTCCTTACTCTTTCTTTAATGGTCAGGTCTTTCTCAACTTTCAACACTTAAAAAGCACTAGCTAGCTATTTTGCAGAATGTGCTTCAACTTGGGTTCACCTGGTATTTGCTGATGACTGGATTTATGTTGTGCATTTTTTCCAGGAAGACCTCCAAAGTGGAGTCACACCCTTCGTGGGCCATCTGTATTAAGAGGCATATGATGTTCATATGTCTTACTACTGGTGTAGTAAGTGATAGCTGGTGAGTGATAGCTTAAATAACTAGGGTATGGTGACATTTGCCAGGAGTCTCCATATGTTACTATTATTTCCTTTGTACTTAATAAGTACCTTGTCAGAAGATCCTCTGAGAACATGCAAGTATCCTGTTTCCCCTCACTCATCCCAATAGCAACATCAATTATAATTCTTTCCCCCAACAATTACCAATATGGGCTTTACAAAATGGTGATTTTCCATTTCCATCATTCCTTCTACATTTATGTCTGAGTCAGTTCTGGCTTCTATAGCAGAATAACATAAACTGGGTGATTAAACAACAAACATTTATTTCACACAGTTCTGAAGGCTAGGAAGTCTAAGGTCAAGGCAGAGGCAGATCTGAGGTTTGGTGAGGGCCTTCTTGGTTTGGAGATAAAACATCTTCTTACTGTATCCTCACATGGCAGAGAAGAGAACGCCACCTTTCGTCTCTTCATCTTCTTACAAGAATACTAATCCCATCATGGGGCTCCACACTTATGATTTCATCTAAACCTAATTATTTCCCTTGGGGCCAGGGATTTAGCTCAGTGGTTCTGCCACCTGCCTCAAAAGCACAAGGACCCAAGTTCGACCCCTGGTACCAAAAAACAAAAAAAAGCTGCTCTATATTTCTCACCTCATTCATTCCCCACCCCATTATTCAAACACCACCCCACTGGGTACTGGGGTTTCAATACATAGATTTTAAGGTAACACGAATATGTAATCCATAGCAATGAACTCAAATTCTACTATAAGTGTTGTCCTTTCTCCCCTTTTTAGTTCCTTATTCAGTTACTTATATCAGCATGAATTCACAGATACTATAGATATTTTATTCTATAAATTATAACCCAATGCCATCATTATTTATTTGGTTGCTCAAATTGACCAGATTTGGCCATTGGAAGCTCCTTCAAGCTGGCTTCTGAGTCCTTTCAATATGCTTCCATCATTATTCAGACACTTTCTAGCATCAGTTTTGTTCCAGTCCTGTCTTACATTTTCCCCATCCAACTTGAAATCACCCATTACTCCAAGAAGCCTATCTTTTACCAAAGAATGGTATTAGAAACCAACATGTAGGTATTAGCTATTTGTTGCCAATGAGGTATCATTGCTGCTAGGCCTTCTTTTTTTTTTTTTTGGTACCAGGGATCAAACTCGGGTCCTTGGGCTTGCGCAGCAGGCAGCAAAACCACTGAGCTAAATCCCCGGCTTCTAGGCCTTCTTAACATAATTAGGAATTATTATGTATATACACATAGACCTATTATTGATACTTCAATCAACTTCAGGGTTCATTTTAGCATTCCTCCTTGCTTTATTTGTGACATCTTTCTCTAATAGTGAGAAACATGGCTGTCGTTATCCATATTTATTTGTTCAATCCTTGTGGTTTCAGCATTTCTAACACAAAATCCCCGTGAAAAATAAATTTGCTAACTAAAGCACAATATCTGTGTATAGTTCTTTTCATCTATAGCTTTATAAAGTACATAGTCAAAATTTTGTTTTCCTAAGTAATTTGTTAGGGTTTTTTTCTTTCCCATCCTTCAGTGTGGTTATATTATTCAGTTGTAAATTGGTCATTTGTTACTATTTGTATCCCATTTTGAGTTCCTCCACACCCTAGTTGGTTTGAATTATTTATTTTCTGAGTGTGTGAAATGTTAACATGATTCTAAAAGGGCAATACAGAAAGGGCTTGTTTTGTCCATTTTTGTTCTTAGATTTCTGATTCCTGGTGGTTTCTTTCATATCCCCAAGTTCTGGTCTGAGTCTGTTTAATTCAACCTAGAGAAATGTTCTGCAGATTTCTTCTGCCCCATGGTGGTTTTTCAGGGAGTAACTTTTAAAAGTTGAGGCATGCTGGATCTAGTTCTGATTTTTATCACTCTGTGTATTTATTCACTTTTCTCTGTTCGTTTTAGTAGTTTTGGTGTGACTTACCAGAGTTCTGGAGCCTTTTTCTGCCAGTACAGGATAGCGAGGTCCAGGGTTCAAGTGAATTCTTTCTGAAAGTAGGGGTCAGATTTCCTTTGGTTTTGAGGGTTCTCTTTTGTCTCACAGGATCTTAACAGATACCATTTGCTTTCAGGACTTCTTTCCACTTTATGGAGAGAACAGTAGCTGCTTGTGTTCAGACTCCCAATATTTCCTCAAAACAAACAAACTAAAACGAAGAGCTGGCAACACAGAAGGGGAGAGCCGGCTGCAGACCTAAGGATCTAAAACCACACCTGAAAGAGTAGGAAAACACAGGAAAGTAAGCAATGCCCTGCTAGATCAGAGCAGGGCATAGCCTCTGGCGGGGAAAGAATAGGGCAAAAGGGCACCCTTTGGTTGTTAGTGTCCCTGCAAGCCAAAAGAGAACAAAAAATAAACAAGAAATACCTCACTATAGATCCTGTAGCCAATCAAAAACCTGATGTATTTATGACAGATTAAGAATTTTTCTCTGTTCAATGATGAGCTTTCTCCCCTCATATCCTTTTTCACTTCCCTTGCCCCACCCCTACCATCGAGCAGAACCAAGCCAGGCTTTTCTTTGCATGTACCTCTGGAAAGGGATGAGGCTGCAGAAGCAGGGGAAGCAGACAGGGAGGAATCTCTTACTGGCTTTTGACTTCAAAAAGCTACTTCCTTAGACCTTCTTAAGGGAACAGAATATATGGGTAACATAAGCAAAGGATTTAGGAGAAAAACACAAGGAATAAAAACAGGATTCCTCCCTCTTCCCTACCACCTCCACCACCCACTTCATCCAAACCTCAACTCTCTAAATAGATAGACAGACAGATAGATAGATACACATACACACATACATATACTCTATGCATGTATCCCTACGTATGCATACACACACACACACACACAAACATCACTGAGTCCTAGAGAAGGAATCTTCTTCCTTGCTCCACTCTCAGGAGTGTACAGCACAACTATGACCATTTCCAAAGCACAGCTTCCTCTGGACGAGAGGCCAGCCCCCAGACAACAAATGGTCACAGGGTATAGCTAGGTTTAGGATCCCAGAGCCTCCCCACTGCCCCAGTATGGCTGAAGAAGAGCAGATCCTGTGACTGCTATGCACAGATGTCATGGCGGAGCTACCTTACCTGAAGACGCTGGGCACAGAGGGAGGAAGAATGTCAGACAGGTGCACGTGGTGTTAGAAACTTAGGAGGTAAATACCTCCAGGAAAGGTAAAACAGTAGCTCAAGCTCCAGGCAATCCCAGTGGATAGATACCTGCACAGCGGGACACATCAAGGCCAGATGCCCCTTCCTAGGAAACCCTCAGAACTCAGACTGTCATCCAAAAGGAGGGGCAGAAATGGCTAGTGTGAACCATTTCCTCCCTAGCAGAGCAGACTAAGTCTCCATCAGGAAGGTCTGAGGGCCCCAGGCCGCAGTCTCCCTGGGGCAGACTTGGACCAAGGCTCTGGGCCCTGGCGGGCATGGCAGGGGAGGGTGCAAAGCACTTCCTGTGAAAAGCGCTTGTGGGTCTACACAGGAGGGGAGGAGCCAGGAGAAAAAGGGAGCCAGGCTCTGGGATTCTCAGCCTGATGAGCCTTATCAGACAGGGCTATGATGACAATAGATTGCAGTTCTTTTTCTTTCTTTGAGGAACAGCCCAATTGCAAACTCTTCTTTCCTATTTGATTGCCCAGCAGCTAGATGCCGCAGATTTTGTGGAAGCTGAGGGGAGATGAAGGACAAGGAGGAATGCAGAGACACATGGAGAAGAGACCAAGGCGCAAGTCCCCCAGAGAAGAGCCCATGCTGTTTAGGTGAGCTGTTCCCTGACGGCCCTCTGGCTCTTGATTACACCAGCCTGCCTGCAGCCCTGGGAAAGTGGAGGTCCAATCACCCTGGCAACCCTGGGTGTGCCCTGGAACACAGCAACAGGGACAGCTTGCTTCAGGTAGGGTGCTGAACCCTCTGTAATATGTGTTTTGTTAAAACTGTATTGCACAGTATTTACACATGTGTGTCCTATTTATTTCACTTAAGAGGATGGCCTCAATATGCATCCATTTAGCTATAAATGTCTCTAGTTTCTCATTC